TGTTGGAATCTGAAAATCAACTCGTCGCTCGTTATACCGGCGGGTTGAAGGAGGGAATCCGGGACAAGCTGGAACTCAATTCAGTATGGACACTATCTCAAGCAGTGAATTACGCACTTAAGGCTGAGGCCCAATTGCAAAGAGCTTCTAAACCCATGGCGGTGCGAAGATCCTTCGTTGATGTGTATCCAGCGAATTATAAGGCCGGAGCTAGTCAAGCTAAAGAACTCACGCCAGGGTCAAATCCGGTGAAGCCGGCAGAAGTAAAGATGTCAGGAGAAGACAAAATTCCTGTTCGGCCAAGAGTTGTAGGAGGCCGAGATAATCCTTACGCCAAGCCGTCCAACATAAAATGTTTAAGATGCTTACAACCGGGACACAAATCTAATGAATGCCCTTCCCAACATCAAGCGCATTTCTTGGAAGGGGACGTTGAAGGTGACATGGAGGGTAATGAATTGGAGGCTGACGAGGCTTGCGAAGAGGTGGAAGGGGACAGCGGTGAACCCGTGATTTGTGTGGTTCAGAAATTGCTTATTGCCCCAAGGACTTCAGTTAATAATCAACGCCACAACCTTTTTCGTTCCAAATGCACCATCAATGGGAAGGTTTGCGATGTCGTGATCGACAACGGGTGTACTGAGAATATCATTTCTCGTGGGGTGGTACAGGCGCTTCAACTCAAAGTCACCAAAAATACAAATCCTTATAAAATTGGGTGGATTAAGAAGGGTTTGGAATTCACTGTAACTGATCTTTGCAATGTGACGTTTTCAATCGGTAAAAATTATTTGTGTCATGTCACGTGCGACGTCATAGATATGGACGTTTGTCATCTTATTTTGGGACGTCCGTGGCAATTCGATAACGGGGCGATGCATGACGGTCGAGCCAACACGTATACTATTGAGTGGAAAGGTAAATGGTTGAAATTATTGCCCTCAGGTATCGCTCCTTCATCTACATCCACTCACAGCCTCTTGTCGGCTAGAGTGGTATCTGGTCCAACTCTTTTGAAGAGTCAGGAAGAGACCCATGCCTTGCTAGCACTTGTGGTAGAAGATTCGGTTATGCAGGAAGGTCTCGCGGTTCATCAGTCTATTCAGGCCTTACTTCAGGAGTTTAAAGAAGTGACTGCTCTTGAATTGCAACCGCCTTTACTGCCCCTCCGGTCGCTTCAGCACCAAATTGAATTTGTCCCTGGCGCGGTGTTACCGAATTTGCCACATTATCGGTTGAGTCCTAAGGAGCATACTATCTTGAGTCAGATTGTTCAAGAATTGTTGCAGAAGCAGTTCATCCAACCTAGCCTCAGTCCTTGTGCCGTGCCGGCGCTTATAGTGCCAAAGAAAGATGGGCAATGGCGTTTATGTATTGACAGCCGCGCCATCAACCGCATCACCGTCAAGTACAGATTCCCCATCCCCAGAATCAATGACCTCCTAGACAAGCTCGCGGGAGCCACCGTTTTTTCGAAGTTAGACCTCCGGAGCGGCTACCATCAGATCCACATTCGGCCAGGAGACGAATGGAAGACTGCTTTCAAGACAGTCGAGGGCTTATTCGAATGGCGTGTGATGCCGTTCGGACTCTGTAACGCCCCCTCCACATTCATGCGGCTAATGCATGACGTCCTCAAGCCGTATTTAGATAAGTGCTGTGTTGTATATTTCGATGATATACTTGTTTTTAGCTCCTCTTTTGATGATCATCTTATTCAGCTGAAATCTATCTTTGAGACCCTCCGAGATCATCAATTGCTTATCAATTTAGATAAGTGTGTTTTTGCTGCAGCTGAGATTCAATTTCTGGGTTTTGTCCTGTCCTCCGACGGTATTAAGACAGCACCTCAGAAGATCGCTGCTATACAGGATTGGCCGGTGCCCAAGTCCATAACTGAAGTGAGAAGTTTCCATGGCTTGGCCAATTATTATCGGCGTTTCATCGAAGGTTTTGGGGAGATCACGGCACCTATCACCGATTGCCTCAAATCCACTAAATTCACATGGGGGCGGGAGCAGCAACGAAGTTTTGAGTTGATCAAAATTGCTCTCAGTTCGGCACCAGTTTTGGCTTTTCCCGATTTTGACAAACCGTTCCAAGTTGATACTGACGCCTCAGCTATAGGAGTGGGAGCCGTTCTTTCCCAAGAAGGAAAACCGGTGGAATATTTCAGCGAGAAATTGAGTGCATCTCGCCAGAATTGGTCTGCGTACGAGCAAGAATTGTACGCCGTTGTCCGCGCCTTGAAACAGTGGGAACACTATTTGCTGCACCGCGATTTCATCCTGTGTAGTGATAATCAAGCCCTGCAATATATTAACAGCCAAAAAAATGTTAATAGAATGCATGCCCGCTGGATAGTCTTCTTTCAGAGATTCACATTTGTGATCAAACATAAGGCGGGGCGAAGTAACAGAGTCGCCGATGCATTGAGTAGGCGATCTGCATTGCTCATTCGTTTGCAAACGGAGATTACTGGGCTACAAATACTGCAGGAACTCTATGCCGCGGACAAGGATTTTGCAGACATTTGGGAAGCTTGCAAGGCCGGCCAGCCTAAACTCGATTACTCCTTGCAACAGGGGTTTTTATTCAAAGGAAACAGTCTCTATTTCCCAGACTCCTCATGGCGACAACATTTGATCCGAGAACTACACTGTGGCGGTCTGGCCGCCCACATGGGAAGGGATAAAACAATAGAAGTATTACAATCTCGTTTCTTTTGGCCACACTTACGACGCGACGTCACGAGATTTGTTGAAAAATGTTTCGTTTGTCAACGATTTAAGGGGACGGCTCAAAATATCAGACTTTATCTTCCTCTTCCTATTCCCGACTCTATATGGGAAGATTTATCACTAGATTTCGTGCTGGGCTTGCCGCGGACTAAGAGGGGATCTAACTCTATCATGGTGGTGGTCGACTGCTTCTCAAAAATGGCGCACTTGGTCCCTTGTAAGAAAACCTTTGACGCAGTCCACATTGCACAACTCTTCTTTAAGGAAATTGTCCGTCTACATGGAGTACCGCGCAGTCTCACGTCCGACCGAGATGTGAAATTCGTGAGCCACTTCTGGCGTGAGTTGTGGAAGAGACTCAAAACCGATATAAAACTTAGCTCTGCCTATCATCCACAAACCGATGGCCAAACGGAAGTGGTTAATCGCACGCTCGGTAATATGTTGAGGTGCTTGGTGCAGGACAATCAAAGGAAATGGGAAGAAATGCTATGTCATGCGGAGTTTGCTTATAACGCTACCGTCAATCGATCGACGGGAATCTGCCCCTTTCAGGTAGTGTACACAAAAATCCCAAATCAAACAGTAGATCTCGCCGTTCTACCTAAAGGTAGTAAAACTTTAGCCGGCAAAACATGTGGTGAAGTTCAAGATACACTCAGGCGGGTCAAAGAAAATCTACAGAATGCAAATCACAAGTACAAGCAAAATGTTGATAGTCACCGCCGGTTCAAGTCCTTCAACGTGGGAGACCTTGTCATGCTTCTGATGCGGCGAGATCGTTATCCGCAGGCACCTACTCCAAGCTGTGTCCCCGAAAAATAGGACCCTTTCCTATACTTAGCAAGATCAATGACAATGCATATATTATTGATTTACCCGATAATGTTCGTATTGCGTCCACCTTCAATGTGGCAGACTTATACAATTACCGTCCTCCTGATGATGCACAACCTATTACTACCTCGTCGGAGTCGAGTTCTTCGGAGCCGGGGGAGAGCTGATGCGGTCATCAGTTATGCTGCACTGTGCTGGCGGATCACTAGGAGCTAGGAGGACGCCCACTACTCTTTTTGCTCTGATAAGAACCTTTTTCGGTTATGCCTTATACTTTTTACTTTTCAGCTGTTTTTCTATTTTTATTTCGGTTAGCTTAAATGTCTGTAGAGGGTAAGGAGGAGATAGACTCTTTTTCTTAAAAACAGCTAATACTAAGCATCGCAAGGAACTCTACTGTTCCATTGCTTCCCTTCCGGTTTTCTTCTCTACGATTTGCCGCTGCATCACCAATCTTACTCTTGCAAAATAACCACTTCAACTCAAGACAACCACTGCCCACTTCTTTCCTGAAACCTATCGCCACCTCTGCAGCTCACTTCAATATCTAACCACAACTCGATCTGACATCTCTTTTACGATCAATCAACTATGCCAATATATGCACAACCCACTACCTTATCACTCCCAACTTCTAATTCACCTTCGTTACATAAAAGGTACATCTAACTTCAGCATATCCATTAACAAAAGTTCTCTTACACTCACCTCCTTCTCTAACTCTGATTGAACAAGCGACACCTCTACATGCCGCTCCACCACTGGTTATTGCTCATACCTTGTTCTACCCTCATCTCTTCGAGTGTTAAAAAGAAACCTATTGTTGCTAGGTCATCAACCGAGGCCGGATATAGAGCACTGCAGCTGCTACTAACAACATCATTTGGTTTCAGCATCTATTTTGCTAATTCAAAATCTCAATAGATCAACCCCCGATCTTTACTGCAACAATGTTTCAGCAGTTGCCCTCGCCAAGATCGACTATCATTTCCTTAGACATCACATTCAAGACAACAAAATTCGCATTGTTCCAATTACATCTCAGGATCAGCCAGCAGACATCTTTACCAAATTATTGTCGACATACAGGTTTCAACAACTCGTCAAAATTGATGGTTCAACCTGACCTGTCAAATTGTGGGGGGATAATAGTGACAGCCGCCAACCAAGCAAGTGGAGTAGCCAATACATTCATCTCACAACTGAACCGTTAGATCAAAACAAACAAAACTAATCTCTACCTTACACTTGTAAAGGAGCACCACCTTCTGAACAAACCAGTTGTTTGCATGATTCTACATTATTTTTTGAATATTTAACCGACCAAAGATTCATTCTTGGAAATACAATGGTAAGAATAAACATAATTGCTTACCAAGTCATTCAGCTGGAATTATTCATAAAAGTGCCACTGCTTGTCAGATCAATGAAGGAAGAATTCCAAAGAATCGTGTTGCATTGAGATTACTTGCCGAGGAGATGATTAATTGGCCTGATCTTGAGGTAAGCTAGTGATTTCATTTTTGTTTCAATGATACTGAGGCTTCTATTTCCTTTTAATATTAACCTTAAGAATTCTATTAAGGCTGAAATATCATTGATTACCAGGCATGTGAAGTTTAAGCAGTTTGGTCTATTTAGTGGACTGTACTGTAGTTGCCTTGAAAAATGTATGGACCATTTCAGTTATTTAATTAGAAAAATAATATTATGTTTTTGAAAATGTTTGATTTTTATGGAAACTTTATGTTATCCTATTGATCAAATTTTAACAATTTGCAATCCATTATAGTTTTTTTTACTATATATTTATTTCGATCCATGAAGTGCTGATATTTTTCATGACCTGTTCGTTCTTTTTGAGGGTGTGTCTGGGAGAAACTATCAGGTTGTCTTGATAATTGCTAGACTCTAATTTTCTCTGCTAAACGATGGGAAGTCTTTATACACTAACCCCATATGAGTAGGCAGCGTCAAAATATGTGTTACTCTGATCATTTTGAGTTTTGTTATTGAATTTTGTATTTTGATTTTTTTTTTTTTGTTTAAGATGGGCTATCTATTTAAATTTCTATGATGTTTTCCTATTCCTAATGTTATTTCTATCTTATTATGTGGTTGTTAGGGAATTTTGGAGTTTGCGTAGTGGAGTTTGTTCTATTGTTATTTCTTTGGTTTGTTTGGGGAAGATCATTCATTTAAAAAAAAAAAAATCATTATAGCTATTTTTGGTGGTTTCCTTCTTTTGAGGTTGTTATAGCAGTCTATTGCAGGCTGCAACTATTTTAGCGGGATCATACTCGGCGATTCTCCATATTGATGTGGCTTTTCTTGCGGGTCCCACGGTCTTCTTATTTTAGTGCTTAATCATGTGCATTAGTGATGCAGGACTAAGTATGAGATGCTTTTAGTTTTTTTGGATTTTGCACAACTTGTGATTAGAATAAACATAGAACAAAACTAATAGCTATTTAAAACGACAATTCAAAACAAATAAGAGATCACATCCGATTAGGCCAAGTTACGTAGCAAAAGATTTGGAGCCGACAAAATAAATTCAGAAATAACACAATGACAAGTAGTAGTTCTAAGGAAATCCCTAATCTAACAATAAGAGTTAATTGGCATAAAGGCACACTCAAACCCTACACTTACTAAGCTTTAGCATAAGCATTATGGAATCGTCCTTCATGACTGTGAACAAATCTAAGAGAAATTAGACTTAGGAAATATAAGGAAAGGAGAAAGAAAGAACCTTCGTCAAGGAGCGGTGGATATCCTCTACTCGATGCCTTCGAGGTGCTCGTCAATGGCTTCTACCAAGTAGATCAAAGTGCGCTCCAAGTAATCCTCGACGGTGAGATCAATCCTTGGATTCACGTCAAAGAAAGTAGATTGTAGGATGTCGACGAACCCGTCCTCATCCCACGTTATGCCATAATCAGTCTCGGGATCCGCCATTCATGGGTGAAGGAAGACCGATCTCTTCTCCAAAATCTGAGAGCAATTTCAGATTTCTTTGTTCCCAAAACCTGAGAGGAATCTCAGATTTCTCTCTTGAGAAAATAGAGGTAGGGGAAGGAGGATTCAGGTTGGGAACTCAAGTGAAGATTTGAGGATGGAAAGGGGATTTGGAAGAGAGGCAACCCAAGGTGAGGCCTTGGGAAAATTCGGCCAGCAGCAGGTTGAAGTCCAAACTTTTCCCAAATAGAAACAATGCTTTAGGAAATAATTCAGTAAGGGAGCTGCCCGAGATGTAGAGGGTAATTAGGGATTTATTTCCTAATTCTACTCTCAGTTTTGGAAAGTAAATAAAGGCTTGGGCTTTTGAAAATTTCGGCTGATTAGAGAGGGGAAATATTTCCAAAGAGAGGAATTGGGTATTAGGAAAAAATTCCTAATCCAACCACTAAGGGGTCCGGCGGTATTGATGGGAATTTAATATTAGGTGTCATGCTTGCCTAAATTAGATTTTGGGATTAGGAAAGTAATCAATTAAATCCAATTTGAATTTGAATTTCAAATAGTTTTAATTTAAGAACTTTCCTAAAATAGAATTGGTAATTTAGGAAAGTTTCTAAAATTCAAATTGTTTGAATTTGAATTCTAAAATCTTCCCAAACTTATACCAATCCAATTTAGGCGAGGGAAAACAATGGAGGAGGGGAGCTAGGGCCGGCGGTATGAGGGCTCGGGTGGGGGCTTGGCCGTGGAATTGGAAGGGGGAATAGGGGCTCGGGTTAGGGATTTGGGAAGTGGATTGGGAGGGGTTTTGGAGTGGAGAGGAGGGCTCGGGTGGGGGAAGAAGGTTGGCGGCTTAGATGGAGGGGAGAGTCAAGGTAATCAAACAAGATAACAAACCACGAACCCGGCCGTCTCCAAGGTTGGTGGGTGGTGCGCAAATCTCCCTCTCCTAGGGATCTCTCTCCATCAAACACTCAAACTCTCACAAGAACTCATGCAAGAAGAATATTTCATAATCAATCATTCATTAGCTCAAAACAAAGAACATGAGGCTATAAATAGCCAAGTATAAAGACTCAAGAAAAATAAAAGACCAACTAGCCCTTTGGGCCCACACACGATAATTCTCCCTAAAGGGGTACAAACGGAAAACCCAAAATGACACTAAGCAAATAGAAAAATACATGAATAATAAAATAACATAAATGACTCAGAAATACAAAGACTTGATCGTGGCCGTAGATCGACGGCCACGCCTCTGATAAACCTTCCACGAGTTGATGTCCCCATCAATTAGCTTGGCACTGACTCATCTTGCAGGCAGTTCTTGCGGGGTTCTTCTGTTTCATCTTGGCTGTTTTATATTTCATGAAGCTTATAAATATGTGCCTAAGATATATAAAGGTACTTCTATGACCTACTAAAATTTTGTTTTTGAATGTGCAAATCATTCTTCTTCCATGATTCTAATCTTTGATAAAGTGTGAGACTTAGAAGTTGTCAAACCCCAAGTATGAAAGGTCGTATATCTAGATAACAAGGGACATGATAAAAGGTTTTAATCTCAACTCGTGGGATAAGTTTCAGGATTCAAGATCAAATAAAAACGCTTTGGTATTCAAGAGGAAAAAGATTGATACATGAATAAATATAAGCAAAAATGTATAATCATAAATCCAAGCAATAAAATCTTTTTGCATCAATAAAGTCTTTAATAATTTTTTAACAGGACAAGTAAAAACTACAACAAATGGAAAGGTAAGGAAAAAAATCAACAACATATGCTATAACTAATCCAATCCAAATAGAAGCTTAATAAAAAATCATAAACTTAAATATAATTATTGAATGAATGAAATAACTATTGTTGAAAGATCTGCTTATATAGTAGTGGTCTACATAGCAACCTAGTAGAATTTTTTAAAAGAGAAGTTTATCAAAGCTGAATTTGACATGCAAACTCAATAAAAAATTTATTTATTAAAATATAAACAGCATAGATCAAGGAGTGCATGATGAATAATAACATAGGCATAATTTATAATATAATATAAATGTAATTAAGTCATTGTATCATTGGCTTAGAGTAATTTTGTATAGCATGAAAATCAAAATGTGTCAATTGCTTTAGAATGATTTATATTAGGTTGATGTTCATGATTGTTTATATGAAAAATAATAATTGCATTTATATACTAACATATCCTTATGCAATCTCATCATGCATATTATTATATATCCGAAGATAACTTGTCAATCATCTATCATAGTACCTTTGTAGTTTTGTATGTAATTGTTCTGCCAAGTTACTTTGGATAAGATTCTCACTAACTGTGGGGTCCAACGACCCTCAAAAGATTTGTAACTTCATGGATATGTCGGCCTTGTTTACCAATCATATCACAAATAGTTCTACAACATTACATTTGTTACACATGTAAATATATAACAATATTCCTTATGCCATATGATAAGAACTTAATAGGAGATTATTTGCATATTCAAGATTTATCTTACATCAACTAATAATGTACTTATGACAACAGTCAAAATCATTATTTTTCTAAACCTTCTCATTACTTCTCAATTTCTGCTGAAGGATTAGATTTTACTTTTAGCATAATCCCTTAAAACATTTTGTTGATTATCTTTATCTTCATGAATCTTCTAACCTGTTCCTTTTCCCTTTTGGGAACTGAAAGCCGATTAATTGCTGACTTCTAACTGTACTAATGAGTTAGAAGAAAAAAAATCATATCAAGAGTTTTTTATACAAAAATACACCAGGATTACAAGACATTTATTAAAAACAACAAGATATATTATAAAAAGGAAAAAACCATGAGATAATCAAATATTATCTCAAACAAAAAAAAAAAAAAAAAAGATTTTGTGTGTTGTCTTATAATTAAAAAAACTGTCTTATATTTTTAATATAATTTTCTTAAAATGTATTGCTGTTTTGAGTTTGATCTTGCACTTCGTAATTGTCTTTGTATGAGCCTCTGATTTACTTTCTTACCTAGTTAGAATGCTCTGGGATTTAGAACATGTTCAATCGGTGCCTTTGAAGCTTGCCTACTTTGTACTAGCATATATGTCTATTCACTGTACGTGCTTACTTTCATTTGTTTGGGTATTAACAAGCTTTCTTTTGTACGACTTGCAAAGCCAGAGCTTTTTTTTTTTTGTGTAAAATGGGTTGTATATCAAATCCCAGAGCTTATGTATAAGGTGCTCATTACACTATTCATATTTATTTATTTTTGGTTTAATGGAAATATTGCATCATCATCATCTTCTTCTTCTTCATGGTAATATTGATCATATAAACATCATTTTGATTAGCTGATGCATCTCTGCTTGGGCAGTTACAAGAGCGGTAACAATATGCGCAAAGCTTTTATGGTCCTAAAAATTCTTGCATTTCTTTTAATACATTGGTGTAGTCAAGAACCATTGATGCAGATCTTCCAATAGCACAACTAGACAAGTATATCTTCTTTGGATTGCTGGCTAAATACTATATTGTCCCAATGAAACCAAGTGCCCCACCAGCACACCCGCTCCACATTGTCCCTCACCAATTAGAAAAATACAATTAAAAATTGAGGAAGTATGACTTATCTATTAGTTTGCGCAAGGGAAATATATAGTTTGTACGCCTCTGATAAGCTGATAGCCTATTAAGGCAGCCTTTATGCTCAGATTATTGCTCTGATCTTCACGTGATGTATGCCAATCCCCTACACAGGTTGAAGCACCAAAGAAAAAGCGCACTAAATCTCTGTATGCTAGAGCGACAGACACTGGAGTTGATCCCCGTGAAGCTGCTAAGAGACTCAACATTGACTGGGACTCAGCTGCTGACATTGAAGCTGAGGATGAAGATGAAGATATAGAAGTACCCCCTGCTGTGGTAAACTCATGTCAACTTCATTTCTTTTAGTTCTATAACTCGGGAATTTTCAGTTCTGATCATGTTCCTCTTGACCAGTTTTTTAATAACTTTGCTTTCCTGCATTTGCTACTGATTTATGATAATTTAGGCTTTGTTTGGGATGGCTTTCTTTCTGCTTCTTAAAGCAACTTCCTAGTACAAAAAATAAAATTTTTGTACTAGGAAGATGCTTTAAGAAGCAATAAAAAAGCAATCCCAAACGAAATCTTACTCTCATGCATTGGTGTGGAACAAAAGGTTTACGCAAGTGAACAAAAGATTCATTTATTATTATTATTATTATTATTATTATTATTATTATTATTATTATTATTATTATTATACTTTGCTTTAATTCAGCTTTAGTTTTTACCAGCACTGCATAGCTACGCTAAAGTAATTACGTCAAATGCAGGGTTATGGTGCTTTGTACTTGGTGACGGCTTTGCCTCTCATAATTGGTGTTTCTGTCGTACTTGTTCTGTTCTATAACTCTCTCCAATAAAAAGTGAGACACATTTCCACTTATTTGTAATTTTCTTGTAAATGGAAATATATAGATAACTTATTATGCATTTAGATAGGTCTTTTGCCTCTTTTTTCTACTTTTTTAATTATAGTTGACTCAGACAAATAAACAAGCTGCTCTGTATTTAGTCGCAATCATGTATGGCAAGTTTTTGATCTATTGATTCCTATAATCTGTGGTTATTGCCACAATTGAGTTTATTCGACTCTATTATCATTCTTCATTAATTTAGATGTTTTTAGATGGAGCATCCAATATGAATAGTCACGCTTGTTGATTTCCAGCCTAGTAATTTCTATATTTATATGAAAGGCATTCTTTATTGGTTATTCAATATTCTTCTAAGTTTTTAGGTTCTGTTGCTATTTTGTTCTTTATTAGTTTTTTGTGAATGGCTACTATTGAACAAGTGCTAGTGGTTGGATTGCAATGGTTTGTGAGAGGTTCAATCTGACGACTTTCAGCAGTTATTGAGGAGTTTCTGGCCTATATCATGTTATTTTCTGACAAATTGGTCACATTACAGTTTTTTCCTGCATGTATTAGGATAGACTTACTCCTTTAAGAGGAAGTTGTTAAAACTGTTACTTTTTTATATTTAAATTATAATTGAGTATATATTAAAATTAATAATTAATTATAATTAATAATTAATTTACAAAAATTTGCGGGAATTTCCGCCGCAGAAGTCATCCAAAAGCGGTAGAAATTATGTCGTAAATTTGCTGTGGAAATTCCACCACAAAATTCATCCAAAATTTTATGCGAAAATTTCCGTAGGAAATCCATTTGGCATTTACGACAAACATTATTCTGCTGTATAATTCGTCGGAAACAACTGAATTTCTTGTAGTGGCAGGGGGGGTACGACAAACATTATTCTGCTGTATAATTCGTCGGAAACAACTGAATTTCTTGTAGTGGCATTGATAGGCTCTTTGTCTATTCAAAGTCCTGGATCCTTGATGGGTGAGCTCCAAGAGTCACTTTATGTTGGACAAAACACTTACTAAGAGTCTTCGTTCGGAACAATTATTACGTCCTCTGACCGGACGTAGAGCTACGTTCGGCCGCCAATAACATGTCGCCACATGCTCTTACTCTTTACCGTGCGGCCCGACGACTTGACCCGGACCGGAACCCGGGAATGCTATGTTCGCGTATTGCGAGGTATTACTCGGTATTTGCTCAGTATTGCTTGGCAATAATGAGAAATACTGCTCTGTAAAGACCAATACCGAGCAATACCGAGTTGTACCGAGTTTTTCTAGTAAAACTCGGTACAACTCGGTATTGCTCGATATTACTCGGTATTTGCTCGGTATTGCTCGGTATTGGTTATTGCCGAGCAAAATCGACTAATATCTAGCAATACCGAGCAATACCTAGCAAAATCAAGAAATACCGAGCCATCCTGGGTCCGTTCCGGATCGGGTTGTCGGGGCGCGCTGTAAATAGTGAGAACGCGTGGCGCGATTCTACTGGCGGCCTAACGTAGAGCTACGTCCTGTGACCGGACCAAATAAAAGTTCCTTCGAGAGAGACTTCCTGGTGAGTGAGTGTAAGACCCAATGTATTTAGGTATGAAAAATGAGAGTTTATTTAATTATAATCTAAAATATAGATTTAAAGTAATGTTAACTGCTTGTTAAAATTATATAAACAGTTAGTAGGTGTTTAATAAATGGATAAGTATTAATAATTATATAAATAACAGATTTAAGTTAAATTAGATAATTATTTGTACATTGAAGTGATGCTTTCAAAGGGTGTGAGGGATGGCAATTAAGTGGTGGGCCCTCATTCCCTCGTCCTTAACGTAGGCAACAAAGCATTTTGGCTGTGGATAAGGAGCAGCAGTTAACGCAAGCCACAGTGAAAAATTGGGATAAGTGAAGTTCGGTAGTGTAGCAGAAATCTCTGTAGGCAGAATCGGCAGTGCAGAATTCCTATAGCAGATTTCCGCAGTGACTGTTTGCGGGACTGTAGATCAATTCGGCTGTGCAAGATTCAGAATTCTGTAGATGGGAGCGGCCTTGCTGTGAAGAATTTGTAACCAAATGAGAACAGTAAGGAGGGTTTGGAAGAGTAAGAAGCCAATAAAAGTTTAGTGAAAAAGAAGAAGAAAGTGAAGAATGTTGAATGCAAAAGGAAGATCAAAGAAAGTGCAGATTTAGGTAAGTAACGTTATGTTTAAATTCAGAATAATTAACAAGGAATTTTGGGTATATTATTTATGTTTGTTGGTTTCCACAGTATGATTTGAGAGTGGATTTGCAGTAAAGAATTATGTTAAAACAAAAGAAGAGGAAATTAGGGAAAGAACTATTTGAGGTAAGTAATTTGTTTTTCTTTAATGATTTTATAGAATTTTAAATGTTAAGGAAAGTTTCTAAAGAGGTGTGTACCAATCGTAATTTTAGGATTCATCAGATATATGCAGAAAGAAGATTTTGGGATAGTTTATCAAAGGAAAAGATTTCGTGTTGTGGAATTGGAAGAAACAGTTAATCACATAGTTAAGTAATGCAATGATATTACACATATAATGACTTTCATTTGTAAGTATGAAGGTTAATTTTGAATGGCTTAAAGTAAAAATAGTATTAAATTTGTTTAATGTATAGAAATGATTTTTTTCATCGAAGTTTTCAAGTGTGAACAATCATGTACATAAATTAAACATGTGAGTTCAAAATAAAGTTTAGTATGTTAATCTAAATATTTTCCTTTTCCTACAATGCATTTTATTTGTATGTAAATTAAAACCGAAATGATTATGAAAGCATGCAACAAAACAATTAGGACTTATGAATATGGAAGTTTAATTAATATCCATTTAAGTAAAGTTTGGCTATAAATTTATGTAAACTTATCAATGCAGGTGGGACAAAAGGGTTCTCATATATTAAAATGCATTGTAAGTGGGGCAAAAGGGACCCCAAAGATATGAGACCTGTATAGCATGTGGGGCAAAAGGAACCTCTAAAGAGTCAAAAGGAACATTTATGTAATTCAATGGCTATAATGTCAGGTTTACATGGACTCCATTGAATATTTTTGTGAAAGTGTAGTAAAGTCTTTTAAAAACTAAAATGGATATTTAGTTTAAACTTCATAAGAAGTAATGACTAATGTTAATTATAATTTTATGATATGTTATAAGTAAAGGTAAGTTTAGTCAATAATGATTTCAATTTTTTTATTTATTTCAATTATTATATTTTAACTATTATTTAATTTGCAAAGCCTCATAACTTAGCAGTACTTTTTATACTGGTTGTTGTTCTAGAAAAAGGAAAAGAGAAGGTCAATGCAGATTAAGTGGAAAGTTCTTCTATTGTAGATGCTAGTGTATAATTTATTTGTGAATCTACATTTGAGGTATGTAGATAGTTCAGTAATGTATTAGACTGATTTTCATTAGTGGCTATGTAAGTATGTCTTTGTTGAAATTTTAAGTTATTAGATGCTTCCATAGATATATCAAATGAAATGTTATTGATGTTTTATATAAATTTTTCATAAAGGAATTGCACAGATGTTTATTAATGAAAAATGTTATGTTAGGCTTGTTACACCCTACAATAATGTTAAGGGGTGTTGTGGGGTATTACAGTGAGCCCTAGGAGGGAATAAGCATAGATAAAATCTCGAATTATTCAAAGCCCCCGAGAGAGCCTCCTTAATGAGTGAACATCAAAAAGGCATCTAATATTGGGTGTGGTTCGTATAAATTTTTTTTTTGATAAAATCTTGTGAGCAAGTGAGCTATACGAGGAATCTTTATACATAAGGCATCACTTATTCAGAATTTATGAACAGGCTCATTGTCTGTGAACTGCAACCTCAGCCTCAAACCTTGTCCATTTCATGCAAGTACGCTTCCGTGTGTGATTTTACTGTCGACCGAACACTGGAAAACGTGCGCACTCCCGTGCGGATTCCCAAAATTTTAATCCTGCCGCTTCTCTCACCCGAACTTCTTCTCCTAATGCCTAGCCCGCCTTCGCCTCTGGTCTGACTGTATCACCTAGCCACTCCGCTCATGTGAACTGCTTTAGTTAGTACCCGCACGATCCATGTGACCAACCCAATATTTCGTCTCTACCTCTTCCATGTAAATTCCTTTGTTTAACACTTCGTTTGTGTGAACATTCTGTTCGCATGTTCTGTGATTCACTTCAATTGCTCGTGATTGTCGCTCAAACCAAAACATTACCTAATTTTAGTCTAAACTAGTTCAAGACAACAATTTAAACTGTTTGTCCCTACCTTGTTGATACACAACTGCGATTAACTGTGTTAGATTAAATGATTAGCATAAGTTTTCTAACAAACCCCGTTACAATCGTCGGGGGAAATCTCGTTGACTAAAATTCAATCTGCTTTAAGGAGAATGAAATCTTAAGTTTGAAAAGTGGGATTCATGCCATAGTGCCATTATCTTAAGTAAAAATCCTACTAGGGAGTGAATTCCTTGAGTAATCACCATCTTATTTTCCCAATTCAGCAGGAGTTCGTAATATTGTCCCAGTGCTCAACTAGTGTCTGAAGCTAGGAGTAAGAAAGCCGATTGTAGTCAAATAACAATGCATAGATTGCTTTGCAGACCCCTGCCTGTTGGAGTACTCTCTGATGTGCTATCAGAACATGTCGAGCCCAGCAAACATAGCCCTTCAGCATCCGAAAAGGGCTCCCAAATGCAGAATCATACTGTTGTTCTTCAATCTCATATCACGACAGGCTGTAACTTAATAATCTGATAGCTTCGGTGTGCTCTGCAAGACCTACGTGACTTCAAGTTTAGGATTAGCGCGTATTTAAGAATGCAATATTATATTATTGAGAAGAATCAAACACAAAGATAAAAACAAAGCATGATCTATAAAATACAAACAAAACTTCAAAATTATATATTCCCTAATTGTATAGAAAAAAACTATCATTACTCATTTTTTTGTTAGCTTTTCCTCCAAACCAATATTCATCTTCATCGACTTTTCCTCCTCAAAACCAATCTTCATCTTTATCGACTTTTTCTCCTCCGAACCAGTCTTCATCTTTATTGGCTTTTCCTCGTTTCTTCGTTCTCAGCAGTTATGAAAAATTTGTTGAGCTAAAATCCTAAAAAATACCGAACTTTTGCGGTATTTCATTTTAAAAAAGAGTGTCAATCCTAAACCTTAATAGTTGAACAAGAAATTTCTGGGTCAGGTAGGTCGGGATGGCAAGAAAAAAATTAAATGTGAAATAGAAATGAATATCCACGTGTACAATCCAGGTGTCGCGATTTTATTGGAGTCCGGACACAAAGCTATATCTGGACTCCACACATAATAATTTGTGTGTGTGTGTGTCTCTCTCTCTCTCCCCTCATGGTCAACCATGCATGAAGAAATTGGATTAAATGCTATGTCAATTTCCTATTTTGTTTCATTGAAGAAAGTTTGAAAGAATGTTGGCTATTGAAAGAGAAGCATAAAGTTAAGTGTTGCATATGAGAGGATGCTCAGGTGGATGAGTGACTTCATCTTAGAGTTTGTATGTGAAAATGTTAGAGTAGATCCAGTAACATATAAGATTAGAGATAGTCTCCTTAGATGGTTTAGATGCATAAAATGTCGTCCTTCCAATGACCCGGTTAAGAGAGTATATGTATTGGATTTAGCCTATGTTAAGAAAGGTAGAGCTAGACCTAGAAGGACTTGGCTAGAAAATATTAGAAATGACTTTTTTTTATTAAATTTGAATGATAATTTGTCTCTTAAAAGGACAATGGATAAAAATGATTCATGTAGCCGACCACACGTAGTGAGATAAGGATTGATGTCGTTGTTTTTGTTCTTCAAGAAAGTCTGAAAGAGTTGAAGAGATTTAAATGATTCATAAATAAGAAGGATCAAATTTCAAATATTCATCATCTTCAATAGTCTTGTCCTGCCTATTTGGGGCCACTTTTATGAGTCCTCATCTTCCATTCCTTCCTTTTAAGTGCAGCTATTGAATTTGAAGTAAAAATATAATAAGATTTTTTTGGTCAACTTGTATATAAGTTTCCCCTATTCCTTGATTTTCATAGCCTCGGCATTGCTACTTAACAAATAATAAATAACCTGCGTTGGCTAGCATTCAGATTTTCAACCTCTACTGTTGAGAAAGAATGAGGAAAAGCAGAAAGGGGACGTAAGTAAGTGACAAAAGCATCTTGGATTAAGGTAAACCATATCTCACAATCAATCTCTCTTTTACTACATGCTTCTTCTTTCCTTACTATTCTGTTTGAGGGAAAAGTGATTTAGGAGTGAGGAGTGGGACCCCAAGGCTTCCCATTATGGGAGCAGCTTCTGGGATTTCAAGGCAGGAAAACATAGGAGCTATTCTTTCCAGAAAGCAATGCCATTCTTCTGGGTAAACTTGGCAGAGTTCCCTGAGCTCTCCTCACTTTACCTCTCAAGATTATCTCCCTCAAAAGTCGATGATATTTACTACTGATGAGTTTTTTTAATGTATCACTTTTTAGGCTTCTTTAGTTGCATATAGCTTGCAAGCATACACTTCAATTGCTTCTTATCGGTTGTTGATATGCCAAGGATAATTGCGTATATTTGAGTGTTTTTTTAATACTTGATTCAAATTTAAACTAACTAAATAAATCATTTTATTTTTTGTATAAATCTACTGTCAGATAATTATTGCTTATTTATTTATTTATGTCACAATGTTTCTTTTTTTTTTTCTTTCATTTTCAAGGGATCAAACAACTCCTAAGCATCGGCAGCTGATTTAGCTAAAGGTATTTGAAGTAATTTTATATTCTTGGAAGATTTTTTTGTGTTAAATCAGGAATCTCATTTTTTAAGATTTTATTTTGAATTTTGAGCGAATTAAATCATAAATTTAAACACATTACATATGCAAGCATTGAATTCAAGTTCTCTCCTGCTCAGAAGCTTAAAGCTTGTAACCAACAGGATCTGTGTATCATTTACTTAAGATTTTGAAGAAATACTTTTTTTAAATCACAGATCTTTTACATTTCAAGAATCACAGCGTTTCACACACAACTTACTTAAGATTTTCTTATTCAAGATTTTGTCGCTTTATTCTTTACTCATATCTAAAAGTTACCAACTTAGCAAGTGAAGGTCACATCGTTTGTGCTCCCGATGAACAGTGAGTTACATAGAAGGAAGCTTTCATGACCATATAAATGGAATAATTAGTTTTGTTTGTAGGGACACAAACATCTGTTAGGCCGAATTAGGTTCATTTGAAGTTGACTCAAATTTAGGTTTTGTTTGGGACAACTTTTTTATTACTTTTAAAGCAACTTTTTAGTAAAAAAAAAATTATTTTTGCATTAAAAAGCTGCTTTAAGCAGCCTTAGTTTCTTAGATAAATAAATGAACCAAAATCTCCTTATTTATATGTACCTTCATAGGCTATAACCGCACCTCATTCAAAATTGGAGGCCTAGCAATCATTGCCTTCTCTTTCTGCCAGTCTGTTCATGGATATTGATCTCCTTACAATTTCCTGGGCGTGTCTTCTTCTCCTAAGCACAATCTAAAAGTTCCATGGAGGCTATTGAAAGGTCTAAGAGATCAATTGATCTGATTCTAATACGTCTTCTTCTTTTGCTCTTCTTTCTATTCTTTGCTCAATCAAAACTCCATCTCAAGAACTCCATGCCCTCATCTTCATCTCGCATGATTCTCTCTTCTTCAATGTCACAGTCAATGGAGGTCGATTCAAATGAACCTTCTTCTTCTCAGTTTGATGCAGATGAACACGAAGCACCCAACGGCCCAAATCCGATCTCAAATAGGTAGGAGAATCTGTTGTATGCGCTCATTGGCTTTTATTTTCCTTCCCTGAATGTAAATGTGTTAAGAGATTTTAGGACAAAAATATCCAGTTCTTCCTGGCTTTTCACCCTTCTCATCATGCTGATCTCAGTATTGTGTATCAGATAATGTTCATTTGATTCAGTCTTTTTCTGTCAAATGCGCTGTGTCAAAATATAATTTGAATGTGATTTAATAATTTATTATTTTGGTGAAAATAAAATGTTATCAAATGAAATGTTTTTGCATCACCCCACTGAGCTGAGTTTGTGGGCGAGTGTGATTGGGAACCCCCCAACTCATGTTTGATTCCTCTCTCATGCGGCGCGACTCCTTAAATGGAGAGAAAATAGTTGTGGCCCTGAATCTGTGGGGTTGGTTGCTGGTTGGCCCACCAAGGGACTAGTTACGCCGTCATGCGCCTCCTTTGGGAGTGTGAAGGGATAGATACCCTGCTTTTGTTCCAAAAAAAAAAATGTTTTTGCATCTGCTGATGGCCTTTTGAATTAAATGTCATCGAAAATTTAATGATTGTATAAGTAAAATAGTAATTTTGTAGGATTTTGAAATATTTATAGAGTTGATTTCTGATTAGGACCAACCAATGGTGAAATGTATTAGACTAATCGTTTTTCATACTCAATCTTCTATTCCATGCTTCCTCGGATCAGGAAGGTTCTTTCAATTCAGGTATGTATCTACAATACTCCATTGTATGGAGTTTTGTTGAAGATTTCCATATCTGTAACGCCCTGAGTGGCTTGATTAGATTGAGCTGCAATTTCAAACTTTCCAGCTCAATATGACCCATTGTGAACCCGGTCTGACTCAACCCACCCATTCTTGAGTCTAGCTGTAAATAGCATGAGATACCAAACCAGCCTATGATTTGCTGTTTCTTCAGATTGGATGTAGGAATGCAGGATGAGCTTATTTTTGTCAAAGCGTTTGGTATTGATAGACTCTTTCAGCATTAGACTACTCCTGCAGAGTGGGAGGGCTGTGAAGTTTAACTTTATCATTGAGTTGTAGCTCAGATTGAAGCTAGCAAATTGACTATGGATTATAATAAAAATTGATGATGCTCTATTTATATTATAAAAAAAAATTATAGGGTGATCTTGAATTTGAAGACCACATAAGATTTTGAATGTAAAAATAAAATTAAGTCTTCGTTTGGGATGGCTTTCTTATTGTTTCTTAAAGCAGCTTTTTAGTACAAAAATTTTTAATTATTGAACTAGAAAGCTGCTTTAAGAAGCAACAAGAAAGCCATTTCAAACGAAGCCTAAAAGGGGGATAATCATTTGTTCCGAGAGTGCTTTCATAATACTTTAACGGGTCAAAAGTATTCCTGCATGCCTTTATATGGCCTGGACCGTTGAAATTTGAAAACTCTTCTGGTAATTAGAAGGAAGGAAATTTGGATTTGAATATCTGCCGGACCATTAACATCATTACAGGGGCTCTTGACAATTAGTCTGGATATATAAAAATTTTCAATATATATATTTTAAGAAAATTAATTTCATTTATTTTAATCCTTATATATTCTAAGCTTGTTTTTAAATATGTGAATTTTAATTTTAAAACTGAAAAATAATTGGTTTGGCGATCCAATTTTGATTACAATATACTTGAAAATAAATAAATAATATTTCTATTATGTTTAACTGTGATGAAATTATGTGATTTTGATTGACAAATAGATTAAAAAAATAATAAAGACATAATACATGATAAAAAAATAAAATTAAGATACTCTTTTTAATCTACAGAATAAATATCATCAAAATTTAAAATTTTCAGAATTATCCTGAAAGAAAAAAATTGATAAGAGCCTACTAATTTGTTTTCCTTAAAAATGTTTTAGTTTATAAATAAATTAAACCAAATGACTATCAAATCTATGATTACAAAAAGTAATAATTTACATTCTTCAATTCAAATCAAATATACGTAAAATAATTAATACTTAGTTAATCAAACAACACACACATATTAGGTAATTAGAATAATTAATTACTCTCTAATCTTCATCAATCAACCCTAAACAACAGAATCACTGGTCAGAAAAGGTTCTTCGGCAACTTCATCAGTACAATACAGCCCTGGTCGCTGCGTGAAGCCCTGCTTCGCAAGCTTCTCACGAGCCATCAAAACCAACTTCCTGTTGCTCAAAATCTCTCCTTTAGCCTGATCAGCTAATATGCTCTGAATTGTGTTGCTGAGAGCACCATATGCTCCTCTGGCTTCATCACCGGCTTCGCATCCGCCGCGTTTTGGTCGGACTGGCAAGCACTGATCAGTACTGACCGACCAGAAGGAGCTGTAGGCGCTAAGAGCGTGCTCTGTTTTTTGGCTCTTGTGCTTTCTTCTTTTCCATTAACTTCGATTCCACGATAGTGGCCGCTCTTAGCCAGTCGGGGACTTGCAGAATCACCGAAAGCGTCGATGATTGTCGACCGGATGTTGCCTTCATGGATGTCCTCTTTTCCGGTGCTCTCCTTCAGTAGTTCGACTAAGATTGGGATGGGGAGTGCGCGGCCGGTTAAGTGAATATCTCCGTTGCCGGCACGGGCGTGTAGCTCGACTCCGGCCGGAACGTCAACGAAGGCTGTAAGAGGTTTCAGAAATTAATTAGACATCTAAAAGTTTTCAGATTTCTTCTAATAATATTCAGATCTCTCTGCTCTCATTACCTTCATCTTTTCGCTTCGCAGTGCTCTCGCCAATCTGCTCCTTAGCATTCTCTATCAATCCGCCACTATTGCACGAATCAGCCACAATCGTCAGCCGGCATCCATCAGCCAATTTGTTAACAAAATGGCGAAAATCTTCGTCGATTATGAGGTTCATATCACACGGCACTATGCACTCGTGATATCCCGTGTTATCGTTCTCCTCCGGCTGGGCAGGGAGCCGAGCCCCGTGACCGCTAAAGTGAAGGAAGAGGTCGTCGTCGCCGGGGTTGGCGGAGCGGACGAGCCGGTTAATAGCCCGGCGTATGTTAACGCCGGTTGGGAGCGTGTAGGAGTCATCGGTGTCGATGAGGATCGTAATGTTGGCTTCGGTGAAGCCGAAGTGGTCGATCAGGCAACGCCGCATGCGGTGGACGTCGTTGACGCAGCCCTTGAGCTCGGCCTTTGTTCCTGGGTAGTTGCAACCGATGAGAACCGCGGCTTTTCCTACCATCTTTTTTTATTTTTCTATGAGACAGATTTCTCATAATCTAAATTTTTTTAGTCGGGTTTTAACAGGTTATCTGTTGACTTTTTGTTTGATGGGTGTCTTTGGCCGACACGACAGTACAATTGACTAGCTTTGGAATGTTGAAATTGTGGGGCAGGGATGAGAGAAATTATTAGGTGTGTAGGCCGGAACTTAAAATTTGGCTCCTAGAGCACTTTGGTTGTACTTTTTCTATGTGATTTAACTACGCTTTAGCTGCACTTTGATTGTTCTTTTGTTGTGTTTTTTTACTGTGCTTTACCTGCACTTTGGCTACGCTTTTGATGCGCTTGGCTTAAAGTTTCGCGGACACGTATATCAAATAAAAAATAAGTCCAATTGAATATCCACGCGTCAATATTTTATTGAAATTTGGACGTAAAAATACATCCGGTTTCCGCACCTAATAATTTCTCCGGGGATGAGGATTGACGTGGCGTTACTTGTAGGGTATTGCAAGTCACTGGATTGTTAACTTTTTTATTACTTGCGAAGGGAAGGTGATTGCCCGCATGTTGCCTTTGAGGCCATCCTCGCAAAGAAACGTGAATTGCTTGAGAAGATCGACCTTGAAAAATCTACAGGTATGAAACCGTGGATCAATTATTAATCACCATATTCTTTTTTTTTTTTTTTTCCTAAGCTCATTTGCTGGTCTCTCTTAATTAATTTTAAAAAATTATTAAGGTAGTACTAAATCATTAGGTTTAGCCGTAATCAGTGGCGGAGCCAGAAAATTTATTGAGGGGGAGCCTAAATTATTTTATTAAAATTTTCCCTCGACTTTTTTCATCTAGGCTTGGGACCGGCATAGACATTTTTTTTTTCAATTGCTATTAAAAAATGTATAATATTAAATATAAGACGGTAAACAACTTACAATTTATAACGTCTACTCTTCATATTCTGAAAGAGTTGAATGATTACTTTGTTATCAATAGAATTGTTGCGTCATGGAATATTCGCGGCGGTAGAAAAGTATAAAGTTTAACATCTTTGCATTGTTTAAAGATCTAGCACACAAACAGATGAAATATACCTCATATAAAGTGCATTACATGATGAAACTTGAAAGAATCACTATGTAATCGCTTTGAGTCTTTGATTTGGACCTATTTGAACTCGGATTGGGTCGAATTTGGTGTTGTTGGATTCTTATTTTCAAGACATTCAATTTGGCTGTAAGTTTGCCAAAATCAGAGTTCAGGTGGCCTTTGATTTAATTTTTGAAGTTTCCAACTTGATTTTGCTTTGAGATTCATGCACGATCAAGAAAAAAATAGTATGCGGGGTAGGCTATCGTAGAAATTTCATACTTTGCATTAAAACTATTGTACATTTATGACCACCGATTAATAAAGCACTATATGTTAAAGCCTACCTATAGATCCAACAGTCCAATCAACAGCTTGATGATGAACGAAACAATATCATCACATACCAATCTATATATATATATATATAAGTTCAGCAAATCCTAGTCCATGGTAACTATGAGATTCTTTCACTTTCTCTATGTTAATTTCAAAATGGAAATTTACATACATACCACTTTGTAACATCCTATTTACATATTTAATATCTAAAACTTTAATATTACATGCATACCACCCTATATTGTTTTAATATCAAATATACCACTTATATTTCTTTCCTATCACTCATATATTTTATTTCTACCAGTCATATTTGATATGAAAATAAACTATGGATGATATGTATGTAATATTAAAGTTTCAAGTGTTAAATATGTAAATAGAGTGGTATAAGGTGGTATGTATGTAAATCTCCCCATTTCAAAATTAAATCAGTTCAATTATTAGTATCATATATTTTATAAACAAATGAATGTAACAAATGTATGTTATATAAATTAAAAGTAAATACAAAAAAGCCTAAATAATAACTTGCTTTTTTAAGTTTAATATATCATAATAGGTTTTTATCTGATTTATATGTATATAATCTTCACATTTGAAGATTTCATGGCTTATCTCCTTCAACCTCAGTTTATCATACTCCCTCCAACCTCTTTATCATACGCTTTACAAAACCAAACTCTATTGGCCAACTCATAACCTCTAAAGACATATTTGAAACAATTGTAGCTTTTTTAAATGTCATTATATCGGTATTGTCGGAAAATCAGCTTTTTAAGAAATTGTTATAAAAAAAATAACTTCTTATCATAAAATTTTCTCATTAACAACGAAAAACAAATAGCCCAATAAAAATTATAATTATTGTCTGAAAAAAATAAAACAGTAAAAAAAAATCCTAAAAAGTTTCTTCAAAAAAAAGAATCAAAAAGTTGAAATTTAAAGCACACGAGTTAGACACAATGAGTTATTATTGATCCATCAACTCTTAAATTGGTCCACTAACTCAACCAAAATGATAAAATCATGAGAACTTGATCAAATTCTCCACTATTTACCATCAATTCTAATCCAATAAAAGTTTTTATTCCAAGCATAGTTAATGCTTTGCTTATGAGAATTTTCAATGATAAAACAAATCTCCAATCTCCTTAAAGAACAAAACCTAAGTATTGCAATTCTAATATGACCAGTTTGGGACGGCTTTCTTCCTGTTTTTTAAAGTAACTTTTTAGTACAAAATTAAATTTTGTACTATAAATCTGTTTTATGAAGCAGTATAAAAGCCGTCCCAAACGAAGCCTTTGTTGAATTATCAGGTATTTAATTAGTGATATCAAAAGCTCTAAATATTTATTCATGAAACAGCCATTTCATAGAAAGATCCACAAGATGTACTCGAACAAGAAGCATAGTTTGCACACAAAGGCTTCGTTTGGGACGGCTTTCTTGCTGCTTCTTAAAATTTTTGTATTAAAAAGCTGCTTTAAGAAGCAACAAAGAGCCATCTCAAGCGAAGCCAAAAACACTCAAAACACAGCCACACTTATTATTGTCAAAGACAGATTTCGTCAAACTCACTCTTTTATCAGCAGACAAATCGTTCATCAACAAAATCATCAGTGCAGTAAAGTCCAGGTCGCTGCTTGAATCCTTGCTTTGCCAGCACCTTCCGAGCCGTTAGAACGAGCCTCCGGTTGCCGATTTCGCCGTCGGACTCTGCAAGAATGGTCTGAATTGCATTGCTGAGAGCTCCATAGGCTCCTTCAGGGTTCCCTGTAGGATTAGCATCAGCAGAGGTCTGATCAGATTGGCAGCCACTGATCAGAATCCCATTCTGAGGAAGCGCCCTCTTCTTTGTTCCCGCATAGACTTCCTCTTTGCTATCGACTCTGGTTTCCAATGCCGGCTTGGCATAGTTATCGTCGTTCTCCTCCAGCTTCTGCTTGAGAAAGCTTACTGCAAGGCCCCCCACTACGCCCATGAATCCACCCTCATTGCCACTCCCGAACTTTTGCAGAAGGACATTCATGAATTTCTTCACCTTGGGGCTCGCATCCTCGCCAAAAGTGTCAAAGAGAGTCGGCCTGATGTTTCCCACATCAATGTCTTCCTTGCCAGTCTTCTGCTTTAGGATTTCAATTAGAGTGGAGAGGGGCAGGGATCGGCTCTTGATGTGGTGGCCATGAAATCCAGCTTGCACGGCTTCTTCCTCATCAGAATTAGGGTTCCGCCGATGGTGGCTATGTCGGTCGAAAGGTAAGTCAATGCCACGGGATTCCAGAGCACTGTGAACGCTGTGCTTCAAGAAAGATGAGAAGCTGAACTCAGAGCTGGTCTCTTCTTCATCTTCATTGAGTTTGGTGCTCTCGCCTATTTGCTCCTTGGCGCTCTCAATCAGGCCACCACTGTGACAAGAGTCGGAGACAATAGTAAGCCGACAGCCGCCTGGGAGATCATCTACAAGCTCCCTAAAATCATCGTCTGCATATAGAACGCAGAAGTTCACAACCATCTTCTACTAATTAAACAAAAAGAATGGTGAAGTGGAAGAATTCAATCAAGCTTTCCATCCATGCCCATCAGGTTCATCAAAAGAAGTCTAGAGCGGCAAACTAGTTTGGTCTTGCCGAATATTTCATCTTAAAAACGCCATATGTCGCAATCTTGATTTCAAATTCATCTCTTTGATAGCAATTTAGCTAAGCAGAAAAACTGTGAATCTGAAGTTTTTACAAGTTGAGGTAATTCTAAGTAATCAAGATGAGATTTGGGCAACTTAAAATGGTGATAATATGTTATTTTTATATCTAAATATCTGTTTTCCTAAGAGTAATCAAGACCATAAAAAAACTTGATAATTGATTTCCCATAAAGGTTATAAGAACTCCTTAAATTCTAAATCTAAATGAACAAAGTATGCAAAATCTAATGCGCTTTAATGCAATCCAAAGTTATAGAATGGTTGGTCATGCTGAAAGCATGATAGGTTATAGGTTGACCATAGCCAAGACCGATGCACATAGCCAAGACAACCATACATGAGATCTCTCCTCGACGATAAATTGACCTAGCATCCATATCAAGTTTGTCGGGATCATACGATCAGCCGATACAATCAATTCCATATTCAGTCAAATATGGGCAGAGTTGCTAACTTATCTAGGTTAGTTTTGTCAAGATAAAGAAGATGCTTGATCCACCCACAACCTAGTTCGATCAGAACCACAGGGAATCATTGACTTAAGATCTCATCTAACCTGAATCGAATACGTCATCATCGATGCGTCTTCTTAGAATCTTCAATCCACTCTGACCGAAAGATTCCACTTTTGAGCTTGATGCTACAACAACCATCATTGTTAATTTTAACCACTCAAGAGATGTCATATTTTTTTTTTTTTTTTTTTTTTTTTACATTTCTCATATAAATCAACAACCATTCCCCAAAGATTTTTTTGGATCCAACTCATCTCTTCAATGAATAATAATCAATCTCATGAATGGTTGCCAACAAATTGACCATCCGATGCTTATCACATAGCACTAGGCAGTTCCCAAGTTAGCTATAGTCACCCACCTTCCTCTCTCAGAGGAACATATATGAACAACTTGGGAACTGCCTCCCAGCAATAGGGTGAGCTCCAGTGTATTGGGCAAACTTCAACTTGATGCCTATAAAAACTTGCACTTTAAGACTTCACGGAGCAAACTCAAGCCCATATAAAGATTGTCACGCTAGAGGTATTGCTCTACTTTGCCTCTGAACATCATACTAGAGCTTAGAGGATACTAAGACATCGTCATTGATGATCACAACTCCCATTCCACCAACCACCATTGGAGTGACTACATCGATGGTCGTTGATCAAGGAGAAAGCATCTCATGGAGAACCCAACATCACCACAACCTTGCTACCTTGTCTCCTATGTCACATACCACCCAAAGAGGACAAATTTGGTCCTCTCTAAAGGATGATCTATTCAACCACCTCCAATGGCAAAAACAACCTTCCTGCACTTCTATGTCATATTCCTATCGCATCGTCATCATCTCCATGGAAAAACCAATCTAATGTCTTCCAATAGGCTCCATGACATTCCCACATTGCTCTGTTGTCGCTTTCAAGTCATGCCTTCACCTCCAAGGGAGGATGATCTGATCATCTTCAACAGCCTCCACAACCTTGTATTTCGTTTCATCACTTCCTTCAAGTCATGGATCTCCACCTCTAGGACAAGAATGAGTGGGCTTTCTCCTGAGGCCTCCATGACCTCCTTATAGGGGTGTCAATTCGAGTCAGTGGGTCGGATTAGGGTCCAACCCGAGTTGACCCGGGTCCAACCCGAGTTGACCCGAGCGTAAACAAGTTGACCCGAACCCGATAGCTAGACGGGTCTGGATATACAACACGAACCCGACCCGCACGGGTTGCCGGGTTGACCCAACCCAACCCGCGAACCCGAACTAGACTTAATGGGATTTCAAAAAATTTACTTACACGACATTGATTGGATGTATTTTTTGTCTTGTACGTATGTGAATTATAACCCCATTCATTGGATGTATTTTTTTGTTAGTTTAATGATAAATATAAACGCATATCTTGATATGTATTACTTTTTTCAAAGAAGTTTAATAATCAAAAGAAATTTTATTAAAATTTAGTTACACGAGATCGATTTTTTGTATGTTTAAAAAACTCAACGGAGTTCAAATAATTTCTTAGCCATCACTTAGAACAATTTTACGTCATTATTTTTTCTTTCATTTCGAAAGTTTTTTTTACTAACGGGTTAGCCGGGTCGACCCACAAGTTTTCAGGTCAACCCGAACCCGACCTGTTTTACAAACGGATTGACCCGAACCCGAATTTTTCCGGGTCGGGTTTCGGGTCGTGTCAATATTTGACACCCCTACCTCCTTATACCACACCATCATTTTTTTCATATTGGCTATCTCCATCTCCAAGGGAGGATTAATATAACCATCTAAAGAGGCCTCCAAAATCTTCTCACATCACTCCACCATCATCTTCAGGTCTTGCCACCTTTACCATAAAAAAAGTGTAACTTTCTAAATTCCCACGGTCACATCACTCCACCCCTTGAAAAGGATCGACTTGAACGTACTCTACAACCTTCCTATACAACCTTCCTACACAACCTCATATGTCAGTATGTCACCATAAGATCATAGCACCTTTGCCTCTAAGAAGAGGACGAAGAGGACTACTATGAATACCTCCGAAGGGTGTACTAGTCTTAACCACCTTCAGTGGCCACCACAATGTTATTGCACCCCTCCATCAACACCTTTAGGAAAAACCATCAACACCTCGAGTGAAAGAATGATCCAACATCTTTCAATGCCCTTGATGACCTTCCCATGTGCTTCTTAACCACTTTCAAGTCACGCTATCTTTACCTCTAGTTGAAGACAGATCCAACCATCTTCAATCACCTCCATGGCCTTCTTGCGCCGCTCCTCCCTACCTTTAGGTAGTGCATCCCCACCTCTATGGGAGGAATGATCCTTCTTTCTTTAGTGGCCTCCAAGGCCTCCTTAAACCAATCTGGCGTAGCCTTTAAGTTGTGCTATCTCCATCTTCAAGGGAGGACTAGCTTTATATTTTTCTGATCATGCATGGGAACATTTTTCATAGCTAAAGCAATCAAATCCTCAAAATTGACGGACAAGGTGTAAATTTCCCAAGAAAACAAGAAGGGAACCTCATTAAAGAATAATTATATCAAGGTTTCAATCTATCAAATTTATCAAAAGAAGTGGTCTGGAGTGGCAAAGTTTTTTGGCTTTCCTAGTTCGGCAATGAAAGCATTTCTCAGAGGAGAAAAACGCCTAGTACAGTTGAGAGATAGCAATGACAAATGGTGCCGTATCAATCCCATCGTAAGCACTAAAGACAAATCCCGGTGATCAAAAACATGAAAAATGCTATTTTCTTTCAAGTCAGGGTTTCGTTTAGCGGTATTCCTAATCAAATCCCAAATATCCAAATTTCAACATAAACATGCGCAATCATCCAAAGTTTGTAGCAGCAAAGAAGAATTTTCGTTCACTTCCGACATTCACTGTCAGGGAAAAACAGATTTGACCTAAAAAGTTACAAAATTTCTCAGCAAATCAAGAAGGAAAACTGGTCTAAAAAAAATAGAGAGTAATATACCATACCTGTGATGAGATTCATGTCGCAAGGGACGATGCACTCATCATACCCGGTGTCATCGTGCTCGCTGGTCTCCGCCGGGACACGGGTGCCGTGGCCACTGTAGTGGACGAAGAGGTAATCGCCGGGCCTGGCGGACCGTATGAGGCGGGAGATGGCCGCGCGTATGTTGGCGCCGGTAGGCTGGGTGAACGATTTATCGGTGTCGATAAGGACTTCGATGTCTCTTTCGTCGAAACCGAAGCGATCGAGAAGGCAGCGATGCATTCTTAGCACGTCGTTCACGCACCCCTTAAGCTCTGCCTTTGTCCCCGGATAGTTGCATCCGATCAGCACGGCTTTCTTCACCATGCTTTCTTCTCGGGCGGATCTGCTTTCCGGCGATCTCTGCGTCGCTGGATGTCAATGAATCAATTTGGTGGATGCGATAGATAAAAAAAGTAAAGATTTGGACTTTGGACCTCCCATTAATAATGCGATTGTCGGCAGAGTAAGCTCCATTACTCTCTCAATAGCCTTACGCGACGGATGTTGGATAAGCCATCGTGCGCTAAAGTGGCGAGCACATCTGGCTCACCATCATGCGCTGCGACTTATTGTTTTTTGGGCTTGGCATGCGCTGGACTGAGTGAGCTCCATTACTCGCAGACCGCAGTTGCTATTTCTGCATTTTTTATTTGTTAATTTTGTTTACTAACGGTAGTTTTTTTTTTCCACGACGAGCCATTGTTTGAGCAGTATGTAGTGTATATATATGAACTTTAGAGGAAGAAGCATAATATCTCCTTGATGATTTTTGGGTTGTCTTTTAAGGAATTGTTTGGAAAAAAATTGTTCTGTGCAGACACCGGACAGTCCGGAAATAAATCAGAACGCACCATGTCACATAGCACATGCGGTACCGAGAGCACCAATATCCAGAAAAAAATGATGTGGTGCATTCTGGTTGGTCTCTGGATGCAGTCCGGCATCATCACAGAATATTTTTTTCTAATTTGGGACGATTTTCTTACGTTTCTAAACAAATTTTTTAGTGCAAAAATTTTGAGTAAAAAAAATTGTAATAAAAATTATTTTAGAAAATAATAAAAAAGTCATATGAAATTAAGCTTTAAAGAAGTTATTTAGTAAAATAAGCAATAATAAAGTCTTCCCAAACAAAGTCTAAACATTCTTAATTATTTGAATCATGATAAATAGTAGGGGTGTCAATTTCGGGTCACGGGTCGGGTTTGGGTCGAACCCGGAACTGACCCGGGTTCAAACGGGTCGACCCTAACCCGACCCGAGTAGACAAACGTGTCAGAAATCCGAACCCGACCCAGCGGGTTGCCGGGTTGACCCAACCCGACCCGAAATTTGGGTTTTGCCGACGGATGGCGTGCGGACGGCAGGCGGAAGCAAGGGCTTATGCGGGCGGGGCGGGGGCTGCGCGTGGCGCCGTGGCCGCATGCTGGCGGAC